AGCAAAAGGAGGAGCCACAAGTTGGACCTGCGCATACCCCACATGGGGCAGGTCTCCACATCCATTTTTGAAAAGAAGCAGCCAGGTTCTAGCCTGCTTGGCTCCAAAGGATTTTCGAGTGAGCAGGCCAGCTGGCAACACTCCTCAAGCCACAGCAAAGCAAGGCTTGTCCTTCATTTCTCAATGCTGCTTTCATGCCCCCAAAAACCCTTTCTACTGCTATGCTCCTGCCTTCCATTTTCCTAAGTATTGCTCCTCATACCCAATAGAACACTCACCCTTTAGAAGACTTAATATTGAAGGAATGTAAAATAAGTGCATCAACAACCTGTACAAAGCTTCTGTATGTAATCCTTACTACTGTAAGGTAGGCCAGTATTGCCATCCCCATTCAATGAACGAGGAACTGAGTCTGAGATAAGGACTTTGCAGCCAGCAAATTAGTACAGAGCTTAACATCCAAGTAGGATACCAACACATGTAAAATTTATATTTTGGAGTGCATGTTCAAGACACACAGCCCCCGAGAGAGCAAAGCTACAACCATGACATCCTCAGGCAGTCAGCTCACAAGTCCAGGCCCTTATTCAATGAGGGAAATGACCTGGGCAGCCCACAAGGTAATCTCACAAAGCACAGATGTCCAGTCTCCCAAATGCTGGCAAATCCCACATTTCTCTCCACTTTCAGGAGAGCTAGAAACTTGTCTTCCTTTTCTTCTACAACATTTATTAATTTTTATGCCACCAGTAGCTGAAGCTCTTTAGGTGGTTTACAACCAAGTAATATATAAGCAAATATTCTCAGGAATGCAAGCCCTGCACATGAGCTGAAACTAGCAGCCAAGGTGGGAGGATATGCCACAAATCACACACCCTCATTCCAGCTGCCAAAAGAGACACATGCCAACAAGTGCACATGCCAAATGCACCTTGCAGAAGTGAGTCAGCCACAGCCAGGAACAAAAAGCACCCCTTCTGGCTACCAGAAGGCAGCCACTGTTCTGGCTCTCCAGGGAGGGAAGAATTAAAAGCAGTTTGTTCTTCAAGGACAATTAAAGCAGCAGCAATGGGGTGGCAGATGCCTCCTTGCCTCCAGCATCAGCCAGCCACTCACCTAAGCCCTGCCTGCTCTGGCACCTCCCCAGCACTGGTCCACAGGTGAAAGCAGGGCCTTGCTCATGGAACACAGCTGTGCAACTTCAGGCCCAAGTGCTCAAATGGGCTTTCCAGGAAGGAACAGCCTCTTCCCAAAAGGTGCAAAGAAAGAAGCAGCACTGCACTACAACACCATCCTTCAGCAGGGCTCCACATTCAGAGTGCAACACCTCTGCAGGGCTCCTGATCAGGAAAGGTGTCTGCTTCTCTCAGTGCCTAAGTATTACAGAAAGCATTGACCCTTCACAAACATAGGGATGCACAGAGATGTTTGCTAGTTTGGAAAAGGAGCAACTGTCTTCCTAGACCTGCAACTTGCCCAATTACAACAAAGGACAATCCATAGCTTCCTAGCAACAGGGACAAAAGAAAAAAACTTTTTTGGTCTATTAACACAAGTCAAACATTTCAGCTGACAGCCTGCAAAATCCAAAATCTACACATTGCTCAGAATCAGGAAACGTAAGCAGCTGCGTCCTTAATTCCCATTCCAAGATGAAAGGAGGCATTGATCGCTACCATGTGCAATTCCTTCCCAGGAAGCCCACGGCCCTCAATTCATTTGCCTCCTGCACGTTTCCACAGTCAGATAACCCCTCCTGGATGCTAATCGAAACCCTCCCTATGCCGCAGCAGGTGCGATGTCTCGCCACTCTCATCCAAGCAACTAGTATAATTCAGCTTGCAAAAACAGCAAGCAAGTCCTGAACCCTCATGGTGGCATGGCAGCACAAATACCCTCAGTCATGAAACTACAGAGACAATCACAAACGCTCTGTGTTAACCAGTGTGGTGTAGTGGTTAAGAGCATGGGACTGGGTCTCAGACAATCTGGGTTCTAGTCCCCGCTCAGCCATGGAGCCAACTGAGTGACTTTGGGCCAGTCACAGACTCTCAGCCCAACCTACCTCACAGGGTTGTTGTTGTGGGGATAAGATGGAGGAGGAGATGTAGGCTGCCTTGAGCCCTTTGTAGGAAAAAGGCAGGATATAAATTAAAAAAAAAAAAACTGTTTACCAGTGAAAACATAACATAGCAACTCAGAAGGGACCTCCTGGGACATTTAGTCGGACCCCCAGCAAAAGTGCCTGCCCCCCAGTTGTGGCCACCGCCCCCACTTTGTAACATCTGTGAATTCAGTCAGAAGACTGTATACCCCCTCCTCTAGGTCACTGATAAGGAGGCTGAACGGAACCAGTCCCAGAACTCAGCCCTGGGGAACTTCGCCATCCTAATGATTCCCTACTTCACTTGAGGTCTGTCAGCCATGCCCAAACCCATTGGCCAATGCATCAATCTCTCCTGAAGCTCATCCCTTTCTCAACCAGGACATTATGTGGGACCTTGTCAAAGGCCCTGCCCTGCCCTATTTTTGCAGAAGCTGTGTCGCATGACTGCCAACTCCCCTTCCCTATCCAGCATTTCTAGAGCTTTCCCAATTATGAGCTTTTCCATCATCTTCCCCAGAAGTGATGTAGGCTAACTGGCCTAATACTCCTTGTCTCCTCTGCTACCCTTTTTGAAGACAGGGACCACTGATGCTATCCTCTAATCCTCTGAAATGTCTCACATTTTCCATGAGGCCTCAAAAACTGAGGCCAATGAATATGAAAGTAACTCTGCCAATTCCAGATGCTAACCAAGAGAAACCTCCTTCTCAAAGAAACATCTGCCTTCAAGGATTGAATTCCAAATTGTATTTCTCCATTCAAAAGGGCTTTCTGATGCCTTGTTTGAAATAACAAATAACATTCCTGAGTCTGAAATTTAAAAAGGGGAAACATCGCCTTCCACTTTTCAGTGCTGTTTCTTGGCCAGTTAGGCTCTCTTTCTTACGTCAAAGGTTGCTGAACCTTTAAAATATTTGGACACATGCAAAGCCAGGAATCAACCCTCTTCTACGATGTGTAACATTGACATTTTCAGACTAAACCCAAGTTCAAATCCTCACTCTATCCTGAAGCTGATTGAGTGGCCTTAAGTCAGATCATTTCTCAGAGCCTAGCCTTCCTTATTGGGTTGTTCTGAAAATAAAATGGCAGACTTCATCTGTGCCCCCTTAAGCTCCTTGAGAGGATATAAACTGCATTCTTAAAAGATAAAGAAAAATCATTGCAGGCTTTTCACACACCCAAGCTCCATCTCCTCCCCCATGTCTGAAGCTTTTTCAAAATGCTATTATCACAAATCTGACATAACAATCAAGTGAATTTGTCAGAAGGCTATTTTATGTAAACAATCAGGAGATTTTCTCTGAGAAGGCACTTTATGGCTAAATTCAAGGCAACCAGCTAAACATTTTCAAGGCCTGTAGCTTTCAAGGCAATTGAATCAAACCCATTTAAAACTCATCCAAACTCAGCTAGATCAACCTAATCTAGGGAGGGAAGGCACATATGAACAGATTGTTCTGCTCCAAGTGACTTACAGTATGATCCAATCTATGCTTACTTGGAAGCAAGTTCCACCCATTCCAATGGGGCCTATTCTCAACTGTGAATGCAGGATTGTAACTTTGTTTACATGAATGTCCTTACATGAAAGAACGATTTAAAAAAAATACCATGGAAATGCAACAATAATCTTGGCTTGCACTGACATCTGTTTAATAACTTGTAGTTTTTACAGAAGACAATGCTGCCCTTTAGCCAGGCCTGATGTATTTCACAGTATTACTGTAGAAAATGAATCCTTGAAGCTGCAGCCCTACACACATCCTTACATGGGAGTAAGTCCCACTGAACTTAACAGCCGGCTAGTGTAGGAGGGCAGACTAGATGGCCCTGGAGACCCCTTCTGAATCGCTCTGTTTCTATGTTTTCTCAGGAGTAGAAATTAATTCAAACCACGTCTATACTGCCCAATAGCCAAATCACCTTATGTAGTTTATAAAGAATCAGCCCTTAACACATTATAAAAATGTGCTTATATACCACACATGGGAAGACATGTAGATCTTAAAACAACTTTAAACATAAATCTATGCAGGACAGAACTGCTCATGTTTGGCTGCTTTAAGCTTTTCAATGCAAAGCCTTTGAGATCCCCTGAAATGTTGGGTTGGGTTGGGTTGGGGGGGCAGCAGGATCAAGAGAGCTTTGAATTTATAGACTCAATGTTTATAAATGACTGACAAATAGCAACACCCTCAACCTCCCTTACAACTAAGCATGGTCAGGCCATCTGGGGGGAAAGCATCTAGCTGGGGAAGGCCATCTTTTTCCGTAACTTTGCACTTTCTTATCACCTGTGTTCCACCTTACTGTCCCCACAACCTTTAATGTTATCCCAAATCACCCAGGAAGTTCTCATTAGGAGGGCTTTTCTTTCTACTCCTGCCCCCCCCCAATCTTTTTGTGCCCAACCTAGTTGACAGAGCTCTTCTAACAAAGATTAAAATGGGTGGCTGCAAAAGTGGGGAAAGAAAGAACCTCAGAGAATCTAACTTCAGCTCCTTTCGAAGACTTGACAAGATGCAGGCAAAAATTAGTTAAATGAGTCAGTTATATGCATACGTAATTACTAGCACAAGTTGAATGCATAGGTACTTATAAGCATACACATAATTATATTAATGAACCACATGAATAGGACGTCATATTCATAAATTATAACTGAATGCTATCAATTACGGACATACAGCGTGCTAATTGCAGCGATATGCAATAATTACCAGAACATGGTGAGCTATTTCAATTAGTTAATTATATACAGAGACAGCTCCCTCGCTGCTTGCCCACTCTCGCACGCGCTGCTCCCCCCCCCCCCCCCCCCCCCCCCCCCCCCCCCTTGCCGCCCTCTCCCCCCCCTTCCGGCTCGCCAACTTCCGTTTTTCTCCCTCACCAGCTCGGACGGCCTCCAGCACCGCCCTGCGCAGCCCCAGCCGGCCACCCCCGGCGCCGAAGACCACCACCAGCGTGAAGCGGGGCAGGGGCAGGGCCGTGGCGCGGGCGCGGGTCGCGAGCTCGCCTCCGCCTCCCGCCACGGACGCCATCTTGCTCGGCGCCTGAGAGGCATCCGTTTGCCCCGCCCCACTCCGCCCAAGCTTTGAAGGCGCCTCTCGCGCCGGCCGCGCCCAGGCGCGTCACCGCCCGCCAATCGAAAGGCGGAGGCGTAGACAGGCCACCACCCCTTGGGCGGTCCCGGGTCTTCGGAGGGATGGGAGATGCGACAGATGGGGGAGGGGGAGGAGAGTGCTATCGCGCATGCGTGCTGCGGCTCCCGGTCTCTTCTGACTTGGCTGGGAAGGCGGAAAGTGCAGTGCGTTTTCGGCTTCAATGAACATACTGAAAAGGAGGCGTGGGAAGATGAAGGAGGGGCTAAGAAGAGCACCCTTTGAGCATGTGCAGAGTGCAGTCTCTGTGTTTTCCTTAAAGTGACCTGAAAGGCGAAAAGAAAAGGGATGATCCCCTGAGCACGTGTAGAGTACCGTTCTGAGTGTTTGTATTTCATATTCGGGCGAACTGAGAAGTGGAGGGGCTAAAACGGGTCCTCCAACATTTTAAGCAGGGAGCCAGTTTACTGTCCCTCATACTTTTGCGGGGCCAGACTATAGTTTGAAAAAAATGTGAACAAATTCCTATGCACACTGCACATTAAAAATTAATTAAAATAAAGTTAAAAAGTAATTAAAATTTGAAAAATTAATTAAAATTAAAATAAATTTAAAAAGTAATTACAATTAAAAAATGTTTGCTCCGCTCGCTCGGGCTGCAGCAGATGAGGTGGGGAAGAGCATGTCCATATTCGAGGGACAGAGCTACAGCACGACCAAGGCACCAAATAGAGTATTTTGCACAATGCAGCTGAGGACTGCGACTGGCAGTTACAAAGAATGAAGCAAAAACACTAAGGACAAATACTGTCAATGCCACTGTGGTATTTGAAGCAAGTCAGCCCAGAACAATTCCCACAATACACAATGGCCGTATTTGGATGCAGAGCCAATGGCCATCATATTTCAAGTGCAACCTTGCCAAAACGGGTACTGCTCACATGAGTTGGACTACAACTTCCATTGGCCATGCTGGTTGGGCATAATGGAAATTATAGTCCTCGCCACCGGCCAGGTTCTGAGGGAGCAGGAGGCCAGGGAGGCGAGTGTGGAGCAGCTCCCCCAGCCGGGAGAGGGCCGTGAGGAGGGAGGCGAGGGCTTCTTTCCGAGGCGAAGGAAGGAGGCTGCGGCTGTCCAAGCAGGGCGCCTCCCGCCTCTCCCCGCCGTGGGGGGAAGAAGCGCGGCGGCCGCTCGACGGTGGCGGCTTGCCCATAGAAGGCCGTGGCTCCCGCACCCGGGGACATGGCTCACATACTTATAAATGGATGTAAAAAGTTATACTCTTCTTACCTTCAATCCTTTTTAGTGTCTTCATCTCTCTCTCTCTCTCTTTCACCCTCCTCTCTTCTGTTTCCCACCCCGTATTCCCGCTCTGTATATGCATGAAAGAGGTGGGTGGGGAAGAGAGCCGGTGCACGCACAGTTGAGCCGCTACGATTTGGCGCATGCACCGGCTCTGCTCAGCTTCAGAGAACGCCTGCACTGGCTCAGAGCTTTTGGACTCGCTTGGAGATCGTCCGAGTGAGTCCAAAAGCTCTGAGGCGAGCCGGATAAATGAGCATGGCAGGCCATATCTGGCCCGCAGGCCACAGTTCGAGGACCCATGGTGGTGTAATAGGGGCTGCTGCTTGAAGGGAGGCAGGAATGTAAGGCCAACAAACTCAGCAAGAGCAAGGCCACCCCTGGTGGCTAAAGCTGGCATAGCAACCTCTGCCATCCAGGGTGACTTCCTGCTAGTCCTTTTTCTCACCATCAGTACTCCAAAATCAGTAAAGGCCAGATTTTTTGAGAACGCCCCTTCCTATGGCAGGGCTGCCCTCATGCCAGTCTGGCTGGATGAGCCCGCTAAAAGGGTTTTCTCCAGACAGCTTTGGTTGGGATATTAAGCAACTTCTTTGGTGCATCAAGAGCACTGGAATGTAAGGTGTGTCATTTTGGATCAGGTCAAGAGCCTGACTGTGCGGCAAGGAAGGTTTCTAGCTAGATCCCACGCTGGGCTGCAAGACGCGGTTGCAGTAGCACCTTCTCGCCCATGTTCCCAGCATGCATTGTTTGAAACTACAGCTGTCCTGCTCACTGACAGATAAATGAGCATGGCAGGCTGTATCCAGCCTGTGGGCCGTAGTTTGGGGACCCATGGACTAAAAAAGCATCCCCCGAAGCTTCTGTAGAATGTAGTGTCTATATTTTTCTTTTCTTTGCAGTGAACTGAAAGGGCAGATGGCTTTGAAGAACATGGAGGGCTAATGAGAAGATCAGCATATGCAGAGTTGGGCAGGGTTTCCCCTTGAATGAGGGTGCCTGCAAAATTTTTCCTCAGTAAACTGATAGAGGGCTTTAAAAGAGAATCATAACAATAGCAGTGTACTCCTTGGCGAATTTGGAGTAGCCAATGAAGCCCAATGACATCGCCTAAAGATGTGCAGAATGCTTTTCTCTTAATCAAGGCCAATAATTAAGCTTTCCCCTGAGTGTATGAATTGCTTTTTCCAGACAATACATTGAATGAAGACTTTGTAGTAGCATTCTGCTCATGCACTGTGGCACCTTTTTCATGTACAGTAGTACCTTGGCTCATGAACTTGATCTGTTCCAGGACTCTGGTCACCACCCAAATTGGTTATGGGCCAAGTCAAATTTCCACATAAATTTCAGTGTAAATAAGCTTAATCCATTCTATAACCATTTTTAATCACAAAAATTTGAAACAAAGCAACAAAGAACAACAAAGATTGGGGCCATCTTCCCCCCAGCACAATCACAGGCATCTCCCCCCGCCCAAGAGCACAACCGCGATCGTGCCCATCTTCCCTGCATGAGCAGGACCACGATCGCAGCCATCCCCCACCCCCAAGCACAATTGTAATGGCGCCTGTGCAGGGAAGGCAGGCGCGATCGCGATTGTCACCCAATGTGGAGTTCACGACCGGCAGCAAAATTTTTCTGAAATTTCTGTTGGTGACCTGATTTGGTCGTGAACTGAGGCATTCGTGAGCCGAGGCGCATGTGCAAAGCAGGCAAAGGAACAATAGAGAAAATAGCCCTCTGTGCATGTGCAGAATCTTTTTTCCCTGGTTCAGGTTGGGAAATTTAGATATTCCTGGTGGGAAAGGGTTGCTTATGTGTCCCTTGCGTAATAAAATCAAAGCTGCAATATACTTGCACCCCCTTCTCAGAAAGCACCAGAATTCCAGGCAGAGACTCTGTTTAGCATTGGTTTAGTTTAGCATAAGAAACAGGAACTCTGGGCTCAACTGTAAAATTAACTGCATTGACAACTGTTGCTAATTGTGCTGCTAATCTGCTAGCAGCTGCAGCCTGGCCTGATTAATTCACCAAGACTTGCAATGACTCATGAGTGACCTCACAGTCTCCTGTCATCACATACTGTTGCATCAAGCCTCCTCTGCAGAGCTCTCACCTTCTTTTTGACTGTGTCCTCATTATTTCATCATCATCCAACGTGCTGCTGAGCACATGATTCAGAACCTACAACACACTCTGTGTATGTTCTGGAAGCCGGTGGTTGGTCTGGCCTCCACCTGATAGCGCTGTTGGGAGTATGAATTCTGTGCAGAGAGTGCCTGGGTGATCTTTCAATAAACTGCGGGGGTTCAAGGCAACAGGGCCTCCCCAGCAAAGCTGCTGCTATCGCAATGCCCGGACAAGACCATGCAGGGAATAGCAGCATGGGCATCTGGGGACACCCAGAGTGCTGGATTTGGACCCCAGGCCTGACTTACTATTGAGTTGGGTCTGTCCATTTCATGGTCTCTCTTAGAGTCCAACCCTTTGCAGCAAAAGGCCTGGAAGCTGTCCTGAATGAGCAGCATTTCTGAACAGCAAGCCTGCCCATGGTTTGTCATGTGCTCTGAAGTCACCTCCAACATACGCCAACCCTGCGAAGGAAAGGCCCCCAGAATGACACCCCTGCTGAGCTGTTTTCCCAGGAAATGTTCGGTCCTGCTGGGCAGACCCCTTAGGTGGCCACGTGTGCAGCTTGGTTCTGAAGCTTGCAATCAATGCCCCCCCGCCGCCCCCCCCCGGGCACTGTCCCATCCTAGCAACTCCGTCTGCCTTCCTTTGCAGCAGACGCAACTGCCCGCTCAAATCTATCTGCTAACCTGCTTTTAAAAAGGGAGTACTCTGAGCATGTGCAGTACTGTGTATTAAACTCAGTGCACTCAATGGGACTGCCAGTGAATAAAGCTGGACTTCTTCCTGCAATAAAAGAAAACTAGTTTGAAAATAAGCACCCTTTTGTTGCAGGAAAGGATCCCCCATTTCAAAATGAAAACTGCTGTACTGATCACCCCACCTCCTGATTATAATTCTGTTTAGAATGCGAAGGGATGGTGCAGCAATCCTAGTCAGCCCTGTGGGACCTTGGCACGTCCTTGTCCCCCCTTGAAGCAAAATCATCCCACTTTGCATCTCTGCTTCCCCGGTCTCCGCATCCGCCAGTAGTGTGGCTCTCAGGATGGATGGTCCTCTTCCAGTTGTTTAATCACCCTGATAACACATACAGGTACAAACGACCCTGCCATGCCTAGATCTTGCTTTATTTCTTTGCATCTGACATGAACTTGACACAGGTGATGAGGAATAGAAGTCTTTGGCTGCCACCTGCTGGTTAAATCCTGAAACGATTGATTTGGAGAAGGGAAACTTCTGTACACTACCGTTTGCCTGGAACGATGCAAAAGGGTTGTTAGCAATATGTTGTCTTTTTGCTATTTAATCTTAATGACTAGCATTAGTCGCTAGTGGACTTCTCTGCTCCTCCGAAGGCAGAACCAATAGACTCAGGAGAGCTACAAGAAAGTCTGTTGCACAGTACAGAAGTAAACTGGATTTCATTGCCGCAAGATGCCATGATGGCCACCCAGTTGCACAGCTCTGAAAGGGGACTGGAT